GCAAGGAGAATCGAAGAGATGAAGTTAGGGTTTTCAAACTTGAATTACAAGCCATTTCATGATGAACAAGAATTCAAATCCAAGCCTATGCTGCATAATCTTCACTTTGTAGGACTCAAACTTGTTTGTCACTCCATAATTAAATGTTTACACAACATATGGAGCCATTGTCCAAGCATTTGAATCATTATCCAAGTTTCATTTCTATTTTTGGAAGAAAGTAACCATTCCATTCTTGTAAAGAAGCTTTAATCACAAAAGCAACTTGTATGGAGCTTTGCACCTGTTCTTTCTGCACAAGCATGCTCTATAAACTCAGAACAAACATGTTTAAAGTTGCTAGCCACTCTACAAGACATGTACCTTGCATTGAAACCATGTTTGTCAAGATTACTTCAAAAACAAGTCAAAAAATCATAACATGTGATTCTTTGTTTCTGACCATTTCAAACCTCAAAAACCATTCCTCTATAAATAGAGATACTATTTGCAAGAGAACGACGAGGATACAAGCTCCAAAACTAGCCAAAACTCAGGATTGCATCACAAACCACCATTGTTGCATATTCTGACCAAGAACTTCAAACTTCCATTTCACTCGTGCATTTCTTAGCCTTTTGCTTCCAAAAGCTTCCAAACATCATACGTAAGCCATCCCTATCCCTGTTACACGACTGTAACACCATCTTCATCCATTTCCAAGTTCAAAAACAGGACATCACAGTTAGACTTCTCCAGATCATTCCAACCACTCCCAGCTCAAGCCAGCCATTGCATTAGCTTCCCAGCGGTCCAAGGAAGCTAACCTGATCATCAGCACTGCCTGAAACAAGCTCAAATCCATTTCACGATTTCCAGTTTTGAGGTATTTTTCTTGAACTTCTATCTTCATGTTTAGGCATTGTTAGGCTTGCATTTGTGAAGATAAAATGTAGATATCATTGCCACGAAGCTGTACATATCCATAGTTTGCATTTATATGGCCTGAGCTTAGAGAATTTTAGAGTTGGAGTTTTCTGAAATTTTTAGGTTTTGAATTAGGGCCAGAAAAATTCTCATTCATCTTTTACTGTTAGCTTAAGTTATTTACATGGTTGGATTCGTGGGAAGAAATGCCACAATTTTCATGTTTGAACTTTTCATTTTTGTTGAGAGATGAAGAAGATACAGGTCCTTTGGCTGGAGGTTGAATATGAAGTATAATCAGGACGCGTTTTGTGTTATGTATTTATCCTTTCACATAAGTTAACAGATGTATCACCACCCCAGTGGTTAAAGCACGCGCCTGTCACCCTTAGGTCCTGGGTTCAAGCCCCAGCGTGACCTTTTGCTATTTTTTTCACTATTTTCTGATTTTTTTTTGTGTTCTTTGGCAGCGCTTGGGCTTTCATGTGGGCCTAGTAATTTTTTCTCACAATACCCCTTACATTACTAATCCACCTCCCTGACTACTTTTTTTTTTATTTTATTTCATTTTTATATTTTTATTTATTATTAATAATATTATTATTATTATCATTACTATTATTATTTTCATAAATCATAAAAAACTCAAATTTATTATTTTTTTATTATTTTTATTATTATTCATACTTATATATTTTCTCTATAAAACAAAAAGACTAAAAAAACATTTTCTTAAAAGAAATTAATTTCTTTTTTTCTTAAATAAATAATTTTTAGAGTTAGGTTGAATTAATATATTATTTTATTTTCTTAGTTAAAATTAATTTAGAATTTATGTTATTTTAATTAATTAATCTTCACTTTATTTTCATTAATTTAAAACCTTTTCATAAAAAATCCTAAAAATCCTTTTCAAATTAATTTCTTTTCTTAATTAGTTTAAGTTAATTTTATTTAATTTTAATTAATCATTTTCTTTAGTTAGGTCAAGACAAAATCCCTTTCATAAAAAAACAAAAAAATCATTCATTTTTCCATTTATATTCTTGCATTTTATTTTCAATTTTGTACAATATTCAATATGATTGTAATAGATAATTAGGTTTAATTTTCTTGCAATCCCCATTTGTAAATTTATACACCCCTCCCCTAATGATGTTATAGCGTAGTAAGTTTAATTTTCGCAATTTATTGTTTTCTATAAATGCTAGTAATTAGGGTTTGTATGAAAAGATAAAATCAACAAGTAGCAAACCCTAATCAAAGACTAAACAAAGCATGAAAATCAATACACTTGCACACAAGCACCCCTAGGGTAAAATCCACTTGGTTGCCTTATAAAAATGGTCATATTATGCATGTGAGATATCTTAGCAAAAACAAGTAAAATACAAGATCATAGTCCCTCGATGACGCTATCTATGTTGCCTTTTCAAAATGATCTTAGTCCCTAAAGAAATATGCTAAGATACCTTGCAACATTGCTAATCATGGTTATACGATGACCCATGCCCGTCCCGTTCACATCCAAAGATAAAGTTACTTACCAAATTAATGGTAAGATAACAATGTCAAAGGAAAGAGAAAATAAACATGAAAGACTTTTGAGTAGGTAGATTGTTCCTAGTTGCTTGCTCAATTTCAAAACCAAAACATCCTTGCTATTTTCAAAACAAACACCAACACTTTCAAAAACATCTTTCAAACTTGAAAATATTTTTCAAAAAATCAACACTTTGTATACATTTTTACGAATGAAAATCATTACAAAGTTTGCCTAAATAATGACGCCTTTTCAAAATACTTTCAAAAAACCACACAAATCACATTTTCAAACAAAAACAAGTGATCTAGCAAGTAACTAAAAGCTCATGGAAAGCCATGGATGAAAAGGGTGTTAATACATTCCCTTTTCATAATCTACCCCCGAACTCAAGAAACAATCTCAAAGGTCTTTCCTGTGCTTTTTCACCTTTCCTTTTGGATAAAAGAAAAGTCGATAAAGCGCAAAACATCCCAAGTCAGTTCTCCCACCGTATCACACCATAGTTCTAACACAGTCAATAAAACTATAACAATAAGATATGAAAATCATATAGGAACAATTCAAGTTAGCAATCTAATAACATAAAGCCAATTATCAAAATACATTTCAAAAAGCTCCAATATTTTGAGAATGAACATAAGTGAAACCTTCATAAGGACCAAGTCGCCATAGTTCCATCTCGATTTGTCTTCCCCTTTCACGCTTGACCTGCATCAATCAAACTTGTGCATTTTGTCTCAAATCCTATTCCGGTAGGCAATATCCAAAGGAAAAATCAAGGAGCACATGAAGAGAAAATGAAGAAGATGAAAAGCATACTTTTATCTCCTTTTGAAGGATCACATGATTCACACCCATCCTTTTCCTTATTTCAATCAGTGGCAGTACAAATTCTCTATTCATATTGGTCATTGCCATAATTTTCACTTATCACTACCAATAAAACAAATGCATTTGGTATACAGGTTTCTAAAAGAAACTAAAAAATAACATATTACAAATATGTACCCTTGAATCCTCTTTCCATTTATCTTATCTTTAGGCTTGTAACCCAACTTTCTATTTGAGACAAATCCAATTTCAAATATTAGTTTAAACAACATTAACAATGAAATTGATTTCTAATATTGAAACATCTAACCCAATTGTAACCAAATTGTAAGTATATGTTTAAAAAAGCTTGCAGATGATGCAATCAATAAAGTTCTTTTAATTATATAAGCAAGACCAAGATTCATAGCAAGGGACTGGTCATAAACTCATCAAATTCATTTACATGAATATCACAGCAATTCCACTGCAAGATAGTGTGATAAATGAAAATTAGAAGTTAGAGCCATATCACAACAACCTTATGAATAATTATGATATTATGCAATAACAGTGTAATGGAGTAAAGGACATATAGTTTGAAAGATATAGCAAATCATATATAACAAAATTAAATCAAGACAGAATAATGTCTCAAATAAAATAGTAAGAGATATATTTCTCTTTGTTGCCGGCTCAAGCAAGTCCAACAATGACAACTCCTCTTGATAATACAGAAAAAAGAGTGAAGCTTCAATCACGAGGATATAATCGATAAATGAAAGTGATGAAACATGTCATATATGTGAAAATGCATAGTCAAACATAATGAAATATCTGAAATGATCTGAAAATGCAAAACTTGAATAATGCAGAAATGACAATATTGAAAGAAGAAATGAAAAAAAATGCACAAATGAAAACATTGAAAGCAGAAATTTTATAACGAAAGCAACAATGTTAACAAAAGCCGGAAAAAAAAAATCCAATATTGATTTGAGAAAGAAATAAACACTGAATGGAGAAATGAACCCACTCATTTGAGTCTTGTGAGCTTATACTGGGAGAGAAACTGTGACAAAACCTTATATGCATTAATAAAAATCTTTTTATATAATCAATTATCTAAAAAGATTTTTATTAATGTAAATTAAAATTGTATTAAAGAGTAATTTAAGGTATGCATTTTTCATTCTTAGTTAAATAATTGTTTAAAATAATAAAATAACTTATAATTTAAAATATTTTTTATTCAAGATAACTTATACTAATATGAAAAGGATAAAGTAAATAATTAATCTAACATAGTGATCACGCATTGCATCATTGATTATTAAGTACCCTCCCACAAGTCAAAATATAAATAAATAAGTACTCTTTCATTGTTTTGGCCTTCCACGTGGCAATTATTCTTTGGTTTTTTAAGTGACTCATTTGTTTCTCATTTATTTTAGTTCCCTATCACGTTGAATAACGAGGATAGAGATACTAACTTATTTTCAATTGCAGCATTGACGCTGTTTTACTGATTCGATGCCAATATATTGCAGCCGTCTTCGTTGATTTTTGTTGCATCAGCTACGAAAAATAATATATTGAAAAACTTGAAAAAAATACAAAATTAATATATAATGAGACGATGACACTTCACCTTAGTCTTTCCTATCAGTATTTAAATGTACGCAATAGAAACTATCCAACACAAAGTCACAAACATAAGTAAATACCATTAAACCAAATGAAGTCTTTTTCTCTCTTGTCACCTATTCTTTTTCTCTTTATCTTAACTTTAATATGCTTTGGTCCTAACAAAATTGTGGCAATGACATTAGGAAACCAAACTGATTATTTAGCATTGCTCCAATTCAAAAAATCAATAACCAGTGATCCATATTCAACTCTTGAATCTTGGAATTCTTCCATCCACTTCTGTAAATGGCGTGGAATCACATGCAGCCCCATGCATCAAAGAGTTATTGAGTTGAACTTGAAAGGATATGAGTTGCATGGATCTTTATCTCCTCATGTTGGAAATCTCACTTTTCTGATATCTCTCAACCTTCGAAACAACAGCTTCTTTGGAGAAATTCCACAGGAGTTGGGTCAGTTGCTACAATTGCAACAACTTTCTCTCACCAATAACTCATTTGTAGGTGAAATTCCTACAAACCTGACATTTTGCTCCAATCTCACCAGCTTGTATTTGGATAATAACAAACTCATTGGTACAATACCAAATGAAATTGGCTCTTTGAAAAAACTTCAATCCTTTAATGTTCAGAAAAACAATTTAACCGGGGGAATCTTTTCATTCATAGGGAATCTTTCAAGCTTGACGCGATTTTCGTGTGGTTCTAACAACATACAAGGAAATATTCCACAAGAAATATGTCACCTCAAAAACTTGTCACTTTTATTTTTGGGCCAGAACGAATTTTCCGGTACCATTCCTTCTTGTTTTTACAACATTTCATCACTTACTAACCTTGCCATGCCAATGAATAGGATTCATGGCTCTCTTCCACTCAACATGTTCAACACCCTCCCCCATCTCCAAGAATTATATATTGGTGCAAATCAGTTTTCTGGTCCAATTGTTAATTCCATAATAAATGCTACTAGTATTACAACGTTAAGTTTAGAGGATAATCATTTTGTAGGACAAGTTCCAAGTCTAGCAAGGTTAAGAGGTTTACAATATCTGAATTTGGAAGATAACAATTTAGGTAACAATTCAACAAAGGATTTGGAGTTTCTAAAATCTTTGACAAACTCTAGTAAATTGTATGGGATATCAATTGCCAATAATAATTTTGGAGGCATTCTGCCAAATTCTATAGGCAATTTATCCACCGAGCTTAAACTACTATTTCTTGGGGGTAATATGATATCAGGACAAATTCCTCCCGAGATAGGATATCTAGTTAGCTTAATTCTCTTGGCCATGGAACAAAACCAATTGGAAGGAAATATTCCAACTACTTTTGGAAATTTACAAAATATGCAGGTGTTAGCTTTGAATGAAAACAAGCTGTCAGGAGATATACCATCCTCTATAGGTAATCTTAGTCAATTGTATAAATTGGATTTACATCTTAATATGTTTGAAGGAAATATTCCTCCAAGCATAGGTAATTGTCAAAAGTTACAAAGTCTAGACCTTTCACAAAATAAGCTTAGAGGAACCATACCATTAGAAATTTTCAATCTTGTTTCTTTAACAAACTTATTGGACTTATCACATAACTCTTTCAGTGGTAGCTTACCAAGAGAAGTCCGTATGCTAAAAAATATTGGTTTGCTAAATTTCTCTTATAATCATTTGTCGGGGGAGATTCCGATATCTATTAGTGAATGCGCAATCTTAGAATACCTTGATTTGCAAGGGAACTCCTTCAACGGAACGATACCACCCTCTTTGGCTTCTCTCAAAGGTCTTCAATATTTAGACCTTTCAATCAATCAATTGTCTGGTTCAATTCCTGGTGTTATACAAAACATTGTTGGTTTAAAACACTTTAATGTTTCTTTTAATATGTTGGAAGGTGAGGTACCAACAGAAGGTGTTTTTGAAAATTCAGCCCAAATAGAAATGATTGGAAATAAAAAGCTTTGTGGAGGTATTTCACAGCTGCATCTACCAGCATGCCCCACCAAGGATAGAAAACACAAAAAACACCATAAGTTCTGGTTGATTGCAATGATAGTTAGTGTGCTTTGTTTTCTTCTCATACTTTCAACTTCTATAACTAGCTACTGGATGAGGAAAAGAAACCAAAAACGATCTTTTGATTCACCAACAATTGATCAACTAAATAAGGTGTCATACCAAGACTTACATCGAGGAACTGATGGATTCTCAATTACAAACTTGATTGGATCAGGAAGTTTTGGTTCCGTATACAAAGGAAATCTTATGACAGAAGACAATTTTGTTGCCATAAAGGTCCTGAATCTCCAGAAGAAGGGAGCTCATAAGAGTTTTATTCTTGAATGCAATGCACTCAAAAATATTAGACACCGAAATTTAGTTAAGATTATAACATGTTGTTCAAGTTCAGATTATAAAGGTCAAGACTTCAAAGCTCTAGTTTTTGATTACATGAAAAATGGAAGCTTAGAACAATGGTTGCATTCTGAGATTTCAAATCTAGAGAATCAAACATCATTGGACCTCACTCATAGAGTCAACATCATTACCGACGTTGCTTCAGCATTACATTATCTTCATCAGGATTGTGAACAGTTGATCCTTCATTGTGATCTAAAGCCAAGTAATGTACTTCTTGATGATGACATGGTTGCTCATGTGAGTGATTTTGGCATAGCAAGACTTGTCTCAGTCATTGACGATACTTCTCATAAGAAAACCAGTACAATTGGAATAAAAGGGACTGTTGGCTATGCTCCTCCAGGTATGATCTAAATTCTTGAATCTTGTGTTCTCCTATGTTTTGGTGCATGCCTAACGATATTAAAAACTTTTGCTGTATGTTATAGAGTATGGAATGGGCTCTGAAGTGTCTACATGTGGTGACATGTATAGCTTTGGAATCTTAATGTTGGAAATGGTTACTGGTAGAAGACCCACAAATAAAGTTTTTGAAGATGGTCAAAATCTGCATAACTTTGTCGCAAATTCGTTTCCTGACAATCTTATAAACATTTTGGACCCGAGTCTTGTATCAAGAGATGCAGAAGTAGAAATACAAGATGGAAATCGTAAGAATTTTATTCCAAATGTTGAGGAGTGCCTAGTTTCACTTTTTAGAATTGGACTTAGTTGTTCAATGGAACAACCAAAGGAACGGATGAATATTGTGGATGTCACCAGAGAGCTTAACATAATTAGAAAAACTTTTCTAGCAGGTGAGATACGTTTATATTTTTATATGTTTATTTGAATCATTACTAACTCATTAACTTATGGAATTATAATTTGATTTTTATCATCACAGTGTGCACTTTAAAATTCCAAAACTACAAAATACAACGGTAATAATGAATTTCTTTTTGATTTGAATTGCAGGTGTTCGAGCTCATAATTAGTAATTCAACTTGATGTAACGTATGTTGTAATGCTTAGATTACTATTTTGTTATTCGCTGAATTCAGTTAGCATCATTTAATGTTGGGTGTGTTTTCAATGTTCATTTTCCTGCAACTTATACTAGTTGCTATAAATAAGTAATGCTGTATTGTTTTCTAAATCAATAATGTGAGAATATATACTTCTTCCATATTTATCTTCAATTTTATTTCATGTATTTGAAATCCCTTACAAATTGCAATTGTAGATGAAATGCAGGTGCAAAATTGTTCAATTATTTCCACCAAAAAAATGCAATATCATATTAGAATGGTGTCTCTATTATAATGCACCAAACACTACTCCTGCTTGGTGTAGCGACTTTTACTTCCTTTAATTTAGGTTAACACTTATTTTAGTCTTTTCAAATACTGAATTGATTTATATCTTTATCTCTGTAGGAAGTAAATTAAAGGACTAAAACCATAGTTAAACTAAATTAACATGTTGTGAAACACGATACATTTGAAATAAAATATAACAGGGTTCTTCTAGAAAAGAAATCCTTAAGAATAGAAAAGAATGGAAAAACACGAAGAACAACGAGGAATTGATTATTAACTGTTATTCTTTACTTTCTCTTAAATCAAGCTAACAAGTATACAAGAATAACAAATAACCATCTCACCTTAAATTAGGATTTGCAGTAAGCAATGATGAGAGACTAATATGCTATTTATAATAAACCTAACATACTTAACTAATGGATTTTTTCACAAATACCCATTACAAGCTAACTTAGGATACAATTTAACTTAAACAATTGGACATAACAAACAGGCCAATTCGAAATACTAATAACCCTAACATTTTGACACCTACATACTAGAACACTCTTCGACTACAGTATGTAGGTCTTCGACACTGGCATGTGAACATACTTTGACGGGATGCATAAATCCTGTCGAATCAGAAGCTACTCTTCAACCCAATAGAGTCCAATCCAATATCTCACAAATATCCACCTTAGAACAAACTCTGATATTAAAGAACAAATTAACTTTCTTCATGCAACTTTATCAACTGCATACAGTGGAAAAAATTGCACTTTAGCAATGTCTTAGTGATCATATCAGCAGCATTGTGATATGTCGAAACCTTCAGCACTTGGACCTCTCCACGCTTAATCACCCCTCTGACGAAATGCAACCTAACATTGATGTGCTTAGTTCGCTCATGAGAGGCAGAGTTCTTCCACAAATTTCACTAGTCTAGGAACTACATTTTACATCGGGCAAAAAGTACTTTTTAGATCGGGTCTTAGTCCGATGTAAATCCAAGCGATATAGTAAATCAAAGACATTTTAAATCGGACTACAACCCGATGTGAAAAATCCACCTACTACATTGGTTAGATATTAGATCTGATGTAAAAAAAATAAAATAAAAAAATAAAAAAATAAAAAAATAAAATAAATGCAAGCTTTTACATCGGTTTCTTAGCTCGACCGATGTAATAAATTGTTTTTTACATCGATTTTAAACAATATGCCTGATGTAATATATTAGTCCTATTTAACTAAATCAGGTGCATTCTCGGAATTTATTTATTTGTACCTAATTTTTCATATTTTTCCAACATCAAAAGACCACATTTAGGTAACTTTTTCCCCATATTTTTACCACATAACATTGACCATATTTAGGTCGTTAATTTCATATTTTTCTAACCAGTAAAGGGTAATTTCATTGCACCAAATAGCTAGGATACACATATATATTCTTCAAAATGAACAATTGAGTTATAAAAGTACTAATCTAGGTTACACAAGTGTACAAAATTATAAGGAAGTTTACAAAAGGTGGATTACTACAACAACAGTACCAATGAAATTATACAAAAATATCCACACTTGAAATATCAACATGCAATCCACAAGAAGATAAGTTGTAGCTTGAGTAGGCAACACCAAAATCACATCTGCTAACAATAAATAATAACACCAATTAACATCAGCAGACAACACCAAAATCAAAAAACTCAAATCAGATATGTATAGACAATTCTATATAACTCACCAGATCAAGCTTAATATTTATATATCTCAAAGAAACATTTTTCCCAACGGAGTCGTAAATCATATAAATCATCTTGGGTTAACTCTGTTGGTTCAAATACCTACAATGCGTAAATAACAATATAGAGTTAGTATTTGAAAATTCACATTAAGTTGCAAAACGCAAAGTAACTAGAAAAGTAAAGTTTTTTTATTTCTTGCATCCAAGAATCAGTTATATTGGCAGAGATAATATCCAACATATTTTTCATCACATAGTATCCACAATCATTAGAGTTATGTTGTCGTCTTGTCTAGACAAACGAATGACATAATTAGTGAATATTTATCATAAAATTAAATATAGAATTGTAATATACATCACACTTACATTAGAATGAAGTCATGTAGCCTTTTTTCTATTTCCATTTGCTATTTGATGAATCCCAAAAGCACTAATTCAGAAGAAAAAAAATTCATATAAAGCCACATAAAATATGAAATTACTTTTGTAACAATTTATATATACATGATATATAATATATTATAACAAAAGTCACAAAGGACAAACTTACCTTGTAATAATTTTCTTCGTGATTTGATCAATTTCTCAATGAAATGAACAAAAGACGACAACAATATTGTCTCTTAGATAAATGACTATTAATTGCCAATGAGGTTTGTACTCGTATGGAAACACAAAAGTCACATAAAATATCTATGTTATCAAAATTAAAAAAATAGAAAACACAATTTCAAAAAAAACTTACTTGTGAACTAATGGTAGTAAGTGACACACTTTGTTTTCGTCACGTAACTTATCTAGTGTGTATTTTTTAAAACCTGCTTCAGATTTCAGCATATTATCAATATATATATACACCTAGAAGGGTCCATAAATCCATATACTTATGATGTGGAATTATCAATACATATACAGTGAATATACCTGAATAATTTAATATTAATATTAGAATCAAAGTGATGAGAGATATAACACTTTAATAGATATTGACAATAATAAAAAAAGAAAATTCACTTACGTGCATCAAACTTGCAGAACAGATACATCAAGCCAATGAAAATCCACCAACAATTATCTGATACACTTAGCTGACATATAGAAGTTAGTGACACTCACACATGCATTACATCAATACAATGTCTTACATCAAGACTAGAATAATATGGAAATCGAAGAAAATCAACCTCTTTTTCCAGGTATTTTTCACAGTAGATCTCTTTTGGTACTTTCCAAAGACAACATTAATGCCCTGTAGTAGTTGATAAACTTCCTCTCCAGTTAAGGGCTTTGGAGCAACACCATGCTCTTGTTCCCCACTGAAAGCTTTTCGCAATCTACGATATGAATGATAACAATTTAGAAATTTTTTATGCCCGAGATAAGCAGTCTTCTTTCCTTTTATGAGTTGATGGTAACATGTGTCTTGTTCACATATAGGACACGCTTTATTCCCTTTAACTTTATACCCAGACAAATTGCCATATGTCGGAAAATCGTTGATGATGTAAAACAACATGACACATATATTAAATTGTTCGCCAGAATACGCATCAAAAACATCCACCCTTCCTCCCACAACACTCTTAAATCATCAATTAGTGGACTTAGATACACGTCTATGTCATTTCTTGGTTGTTTTGGGCCCGAAATCATCATCGATAGCATAATATATTTACGCTTCATACACAACCTAGGAGATAGGTTGTAAATCATCAAGAGAACAAGCCAATAAGCATGGTTAGTACTTAGATTAACAAATGAATTCATTCCATCAGTAGAAAGTCCAAGTATAAGGTTTCTCGACTCTTTTCCAAAACTTGGAAACAAAGAATTTATTTTCTTCCATTGCAAAGAATCGGCTACATGGAGAATTTGTTCATCACAATTTCTTTCTTTTGCATTCCATCTAAGATTCTTTGCATCGTTTACATTAGCAAATAGTCTCTTAAACCTTGAAATTACTGGTAGGTACCATATCGTTTTCGCAGGAGGACCCTTTTTGACCACCTCATCTTCACTAGAATCGCCATCTTTCTTTGTAGCGTGACACCTTGCACTTCGGACAATGATTATAGTTTACATACTTTTTTCGGTATAATATGCAGTCATTAGGACATGAATGTATCTTTTCATACTCCAAACCCATCAGACATAATATTTTCTTCACCTCGCAATAAAGAATTGACATTATGTTACCTTCTGGAAGCATTTTTGTCAATAATTCAAGAAATTCGGTAAAACTTTTGTCAGTCCACCTGTTATTTTCCTTCAGATTAAACAATTTTAACACGGCTGACAAACGTGTAAAATTTGTGCATCACGGGTACAAATGTTTATCCTTGTCACTACATAAAGTATCATACGCATGTGCCCTCTTAAACGAATCTTGTTCAATATCATGCATCATGTCTTCCAAACGGTCATCCATATCGACACTAACATCATCTCTTTGGGACACGTTTGAATGTGCTACTACTTCACCGTGCCATATCCATTGTGTATAACTTTGACATACTCCTACACAAATTAGATGATCCATGATTTCTTTCTTACTAAGTTTTGGTTCTTTATTTGCATAACGAACACATGGACAAAGAAAAAGTGCATGAAGACTTTTTTCAGCATTACTTTCCACAAACCGTAGAAATTCCTTCACTCCATGTTCGTACTCAGAACTTAATCGATTAGCTCTCATCCAACTACGATTCATACCTATGTTTTGAAATTAATGAATACATAGTTAAATCATTAAAAAAATTATTTCTAATATACTTTTTTAATAATTAATATTTTTTAATATTCTTTACTTGTTAGATCACTCCACAATGACTTAATATAGGAAAATCCATCAAAAATAATATAGAATTAGGATACGTTCTACTTAACTGTCCTTGAATGTTTATAGTTTGGGTAGAAATATACATTTATAGGAAGTCTG